GAGAGAGAGAGAGAGAGAGAGAGAGAGGGAGAGAGAGAAAGAGAGAATATGTGTGTGTGAATGTGTGTGTGTGTGTACATTTTCTTTATTACCCACCACTTGATGGACACTTAGGTGGTTTCTGTTCTTGGTCATTGTGAATAGTGCTATAGGAACATGGGAGTGCAGGTGTCTGACACACTAATTTCATTTCTTAATTTACATTCCCACCAACAGTCTGCAAGCATTCTTCTCTTTTCTCCACATCCTTATCGGCACTTGTTATCTTTACTCTTTTTGATATAAGCCATTTTTACTGGAGTGAGGTGATACTTCGTGGTTTAGATGAACTATACTTGATTTTTGACATAGACTATTTCTTCTCTATAATATGTGGAATCATGAGCATACCATTCTAGAGAGTGATTAGGAAGGGTAATCCTCCTTTTTTTTAAGTGACTATAATTTACCCATTTCATTTGCATTTGGGATGGAGTTTTGGTTAAGGATATCTTTGTTAGGCTCTATCCTCTGCTTGTATTTATTTATTTATTTATTTATTTTAATCTGTGAGCAGTCAGCTAAATGCACTGAAAAGCTGAGAAAGAAAAGTCTTGTGGGTTCATGCACAGGCACATTGGTATCTCAATCTCTCTTTCTGCCTGGTGTCTGCATCATTTTTTATGATCTGTTGAAGAGTGGCTTCAGAGTCCATAATGGATGTAAGATGATTATTTTTACTCTGTGATTTTTGGTTATATATTAAGTAGGTAAGATAAATGTTATATAAAATCTAATGGACTAAATGAGGAGAACAGGAAATGCATTGGTATAGACTTCTTGCAGGGAACAATATCTAAATGACAATCTAAACTTTTAGTGAAATAGTCACATAACTCTTGTAAATGGAATTGAGCAAATAAGAAAAACATGGCTCTATTCTAAAAACATACCTAAATCATCTATCATGGAATCAGATTTTTGGCTTTGAAAGGTTTTTTTCTTTTTTTAATTTACTTTTTAGTTGTAGTTGGACACATTACCTTCATTTTATTTATTTTTGTGTGGTGCTGAGGATTGAACCCAGGGACTCATATGTGCTAGGTGAGCACTCTACCACTGAGCCACAACCTCAGCTGGGCTTTGAATGTTTTTACATTTATGTTGTCCCATTTCTAACTTTTTTTTTTTTTTTGGCTAGAAAAGGCAAATTGAAATTCAGACAGCAAGCTATGATTTGTCCACTCCTAGTTTTTCTATCTGTGCTCTAAGAGGAAATATTTGGCTTATAGCCAATTCTCTACCTTCTTTGGACATCATCCAGCTATGGGTGCTGTAGTCTGTCTCTTCCTGAGATAAATTGGCAGCCCTGCTTACCAGTCAGTTCCAGCCATGCTGGCTTTTGCTTCTAACAGCTAAGTCTGATAGTGTTATGTGAAGCTGTATAAAATAGAAGATCCTGATCTGGGCCAGAAATTTAAAGGAAAAAAGTGCTAAATAATTTTTCCCTTTTGTTTTGAGATTTCATGATGTTTGAATATAGAGAGTTTGAAGTTTAATTTCTCAGAAAGAGTGGCAGAATTTTTTCTGTGGATTCCTAAAATAGATTTTTATGGAGCAATGTCTGTGCTCTCTGGAATTCCCTCAAGCTTAATTCCCATTTCTGTCCTATAGTAATTTTAAACTTTTTATTTTTTGAGGCAGGGTCTTGCTAAGTTGCATAGGGGCTTGCTGAGTTGCTCAGGCTGATCTTGGACTTGAAATCCTCTTGCCTTAACCTCCTGAGTTGCTGGAATTACAGGCATGTGTCACCATGGCTTTAATCCTTTTTAAAAAATTATATATTATACTAATTGGTACTTACTAGATGTAGTCAATAATATTTCTTAAATGTCTTAATTATTTAGGTCATTGTGATACATAAGACTTTCTGCTTGTCAGGGATATAAGGTATAAAGTCATATATATATATATAATATATGCATATTTATTGAAAATTTTTTTGAATTATGAAAACATCCCAATATTTCATCTTAAGTTGAGAAATGGGAGACATGATAAAATGACTTTATTGATATGACCAAAGATAATGAAAAGAGTTTGATGGAGCTAAGAAGTGAAAATCAAGAATGTAGTTAGTATTTGGTGTTTTTATGAAATTCTTTTTCCATTACAATTCATAGCATAGAAGAAACCATAACTTATTTGGTGTATTTTACTTTTAATTGTTCAATAAATGCCTGTTAAATTAAAAGCAAGTAGAGAAAAATGAATTAGAAAAGTCTTTTTTATATTAAAGTGGGTAAGAGTATATAGTATGGAGAGCTGATCTACTTAATTAAAAAACAAAATCTGCTATGTTAAGCTCTGTGCTTTATTCATATTGCTCAGAATGATACTGCCCTTTCCAATAAAAATTCAAAAGCAAATACTTAAAATATAAGACATAATGTGGTAAGCATTGTAACAGTGGGAATGAACTTGTGTTAGCTTTTCATTGTTATGATCAAAACACCTGACAAGAACAACTTGAAGGAGGAAAGATTTATTTTGGATACAAATTAGTAGGTAGAGATTAGAATATAAAGAGAAGCCCCTTTGGTATCCAGTATGTAGATTTGCATAGGAACTATTTGATTCCTTCTCTGCAGGGTTTCAAGATGGTAGGAAACACTAATGACAGTGGCAAATTTGCCATTCAAAAGCCAACATGGTATAGAGCAAAGAAAATTTAGAGAGTTGACAGACTTGTCTAATTCTTTAACAAGTCATTGAATCTTTTTGAGTCTCAGTTTTCTCATCTGTAAAATGGAATCAATAAAGCAATTTATGAGGACAAAATGAAATAACTATCTAAACAGTGGTTCTCAAACTTGCCTGCACATTTAAATCACGCAGGGAGCTTTACTAAGCTCTTACACCCAGGCTGCAATCCAGACAATTATCTCAGAAAGTTTGTGGCTGGGACCACCACATCAGTATTTTTAAAAAGTTCATTTAGTTTAGTCTATGTTGAAATGCTTGGTCATAAAGCCTAGAGTGAAATGTGTGTAACATGGTAGGCACTTGATACACATCTAGTTCCCTGAAACACACACAAATGACAGCCTTTAAGAGTGCTTAGTATATCATGTAGAAAATGCATTTGCTTTGTTTTTACTATTGTTCTGTCAGATGATGGAATAACACAGGACTGAGATAAAAAGAGAGAAACTGCTTATTAGAGAGGAGAATGGCTACTTTTATTTTCAGACGCTATCAGTGTAGTTATTTCAATGAATTATAATTATTTCAAAGACAGAAAACTTAAAAATATTTTAATTAAAATTTAAACCTTAATGGCTCACAGTTGGGGATAACCTTAATTTGATACAGAGAGATACTTGAAACATATAACAATCTTAATTTTAGCAAAGATATATTCATATTATATAGATCATGTCTACATAATAAGTGTTCTACACAATATGCAGACATGTAGATGTATTTTTTCTTTATAACAGTTGGTCGACTTCTAGTATTTGGGTGAAATATCGAAACTAGAGTTGAATCTTATAAAGACTGACATGTATTGTTAATATGATAATTTGCCTCTTGGTTTCTTTCTTTTTTATTTTATTTTATTTTTTAATTTTTATTTATTTTTTTATTGTTAGTTGTTCAAAACATTACATAGTTCTTGATATATCATATTTCACACTTTGATTCAAGTGGGTTATGAACTCCCATTTTTACCCCATATACAGATTGCAGAATCACATCAGTTACACTTCCATTGATTTACATATTGACATACTCAGAGGACAGGAAAGGCAGCAGAATACAACAGACATGCCTTTTGGTTTCATGCTGCTGTCATCATTATCAAATTATCTCCTCTGACCTTGGAACCTGAGTCTCTGAGTATAGATACTTCTGTTAGCCACCAAAATCTATTAGGCTAACATCATGAAGACAAGAACATATTTTATGTGTTTATTAACATGATCTATATTTTCCATTATATCAAATAGAATATTTAGCAGTCTGCTTGTATACTTTTTTAAAATTATTGTTTGTTTTGACTTTGATCTTAGAAAGGTCATTTATTTATTGGAATTACTTTTTCAGTATGATTTTTTTCCCATAATAACTACTTTGAAAAGAACATCTAGAATAATACTTATTTGAAATATTCATTTAAGAAAGAACTTACTTATTCTTCTCATAGTCTTTACTGTTGCTAATTTTCAGCAATCATATATGTTCCTTACATTAGGTGCACATTCAGACAACAAAACAAACATTTTTCCCATTTCCAGAAAATTGATATATAAATTGGTATATTAATTTTGCTTAGGTGAAATGCACATTTGTTTTCTTTTACTTTTGTGGTTTTTAGATCAACATGTTCAATTATTAGAACATTTGTAGACTACTTATATCCTCAAATTTAAGTGAGTTAATGCATGTAAAATTCTTTAAATAATACCTGGCACAAATATTTAATAAGTATTTGTTATTGTCTGCTGTAAGGGGTTTTTAGAAAACTGAATAATATAAAAGTACATTATAACAGAGCC